CCCGGTTGCCGCCATATTTTACGCAAATGTGACCACTCGTCACGTGACCTTCCAAGAGCCGTGACGTCACAGGTAAGATGGCAGCGCCCAGAGCTGGCGGATGCGAGTTTGTTCTGTGCGCGGTAGCCGTGATGTGCAGCTGCTTTCTGACGACTTCGGGCTTCTTCGTGTTCGCTGACGCAGGTATAATGTGAAAATATGAAGGAATGAGACTTTATACCGTTTTTGCGCAAGATCGCTCTGGATCAACGCCTGTGAGACAGCATCAGCTCTGCATCGCCGTACCGGTGCTTGGATTCCGGGATGTGTCCGAGGATCGATAGAACTTTGAGTGCTTTTAACATGAAATTTTCGCATTCTCTTAGCTTTGTTTGAACGTTGAATTATCTAAGAATCTACGCTAAATGTATACGTCGCGTTAGGGCCTAAGGGAAGTTGTTTCAGCCCTCCGTCACCGAACAACCATAGCAACTTTTAGCGAGGAAGCTCCTGCGATTTTAACCTTTTGTGCTAATCCACGATTCTACGTTCGATCGCTTTTCTTCCTTTTTTTGTGTGTGTGTGTGTGAGTGCGAAGTGCACCCTTATTTTCAGCTATGAGGTTGGCGTTTTATTGAGTATGGGGAAGAATAAATCATTGCAGGCACCTGCTTCAAAGCTATTCGACTTGCTATAAGAACAACTGTTTTGGTGCATGCATAGATTAACTGCGCATTTTTTCTGTTTTGTAGGATTTATTGCAGCTATACTCTTTTCCATCAAGAGTGCATTGTATTAGTCGGTCAATTATTTAATTGTTCTAATTACCTGGATAAGATGATTCATATTTGTGTTCATCCCTTGCCTGGAGAGCAGTCTTGTTGAAAAATGTTGACTACCATTCCTTTCGGTCTCTTCAATAGACTCTTTTTAAAAGTGTGGGCTGTCTATACTTGGCATCACCGTAACTTGGAAAAGGCCAACCGCCACAGCCCCCTCGAGCCAATCAGAGAGACGGAGCGAAGGTGTGTGACAAATCTGTGCAGACGAGCACTCTGGTGATATGCTTTCATGTGCCTCTCTCCAATGTGTGTATTGACTCACCGAGACCGTAGCCTTTGCCGTCTGCCAAATTCTGATGAAACAAATTACAGTAGCTACTTCTGTAATTACCCCAGGCTTTCATACTTTGGGTATTTGTTCGACAAGAATGTTGTGTCCGCCATCCCTGTGAATTCGGCTCAGCACCTATTGGACTCGAATGCTGCATTGGCGTTCGACGTGAACTGGGGCCCATTCATGTGCTTTGCGCCGAAAAAAATGGTGACGGTTGTGTTGCTTGATAAGGTTCTGCAAAGGGTCTATTGTGTCATACATATAGGAAGTGTCATGCTATATAACAATGCATCAACACATACTATTAAACTATATGCTCAGAGGTGTGTTTGTTTTTCCAATTAACAAGTTACAGCAGTGTGCTTTAATGCTATTATCATGTGTGTAGTTTTAAGTATCCTCTCTGCAATGCCTACAAAGGCCCCTGGAAGGAATAAATTAATAAATAACATTTTCACATCACTGGAGTTGGTTTTCGGATGCACCACATGTTCAGGAAAGGTTGAACGAGTGCAGCCCCATGCAACAAGTCTGCCAGTCTGGTATTTCCCATTAATTAATATTGAAGGGTCAGAGATGCGAGTGTCCTCGTAAGGTCCAGAGCATGCAATGGACACAATTCTCGGTGTGTAGACTCTCAAGGCATGAAGGCAAACGGAAATATGTTTATCTGGTTAGTGTATCAAATATGTTTATTTCCACTTGATTACAAAATTATTGATTCTTAGTAAATGGTTCCATAACGAGTTCTTTCTGCGACAGTCTCGTGTCAGGCGTTCAGTCGTAGTACCTGTGGACCTTGTTGTCGGATGACGCTCCTGGCACGTCGGTGTTCAGTTTGGTCGAGTGGCAACTTTGACCGACTGATGCTGTCTTGTAATCATACGTCATGTGCACTGAAGCTGCAGGGCTGGCTTCTAATCCGAAAATTTTCCTGGTAGTTTTCGGCATCAATGTAGCAAGTTCGGGCATGTATTGCTTACGTGGCTGTGCCTTTTGCTGTACCGTTGACTTGAAAGCTGGCAACAATTTTTGTTTGCTATTCAAGTCTGGTGATGCTTGCAGTTCACTTTTGAGAGCAACCAACCATTCTATTCCTTCAAGTCACTCAGAGGCATTCTCCCTCAAAGTTGCAAATTGTGTGCTTCGTGGAGTGGACACAGAAAATTGGTGTCAGCAAGTTTTTAGGTATTGTCCTTGGACGACAACCGACACCAAATCCACTGTCACTGCATCGCCGTTAACCTGCTTTGTCGTGCTTACCTCTTGTTGAGGTGATGGACATGAGGAGCTTCGGGGTAATCAGGGATTCAGAATCTTCGATTCAGCACCTTCGGCATCAGGGACAAAGGTCGCCGAAGGTAATCCTTAATCTCCCGTGGTCGCTCCTCGAGACGTAATCGAGGGTCGTTTGGCACGAACCCTCGCAGACCAATTCATTGGTACGGGCTGCTTTGGTAGACATGGTCGGCTTCATGCAGTGGTAGCAAAGTGGTTTTCGGTCGCACATTCGCATCACCTACGTTTTCCTCTGTGTACTTTGTTGAGCGCGGACCTACACACGATGTCGGAAATGCTTCGGCGTTAGAGTGTCTCATTGAATTGGCATTGAATACTAAGGGGCAGCCGGTGGCGGTCGTCGTGCTATTGTGGCGTAAGTTGCCCTTGGTTTGTCAGATGCCGCTTCGCTCGCAGAACTCTCGGTTGAAATACCTGTCAAACTTGTTCCGAAACAATCTCGGCAATCAAAATAAAAGCCGGGCAACTGATGGCAGGAAGTAGCTTCCTTATCTCCTCCCAGGCAACGTCGTGGGTGATGTCGTGGATGCCTGGGAGGCTGGCGTCGAAGTAGTAGCTGGACAACTCGAGTGTCGAGACGCCGGGAAGTTGTTCATAGTGGCAGGCTCGGGCATGCAGTGCACATTCCATGTTGGAAGCCTCAGTGATATGAACACTTCGACTGTTGTTGGGGGGTTGCGGACAAGGCTGCCGAAGGTGTTGTCCCTCACGTGGGGCGCATGGGATTCTTAGGTTCTTGTCTTCTGTAGCATCAAGGTCGGCGTGGGCGTGGGCGCTCGATCAAGCGCAAAACATCCTCCACGAGTGCGGTGGCGCTCTCATTGGGGCAGTGTCCTGGACAGAATCAAGAATGCGGCTCTCTTTCGTTGATGTTGGCCGACGGATGCGCGCTTCAGCTTGATCTTGCAAACTTCCCATGACGTTAAGGAGGATCCACGGTTCTCAGACCGGCGCCGGCAGTTGCTTCCACGAGAAGTATAGGTTCTGCAGGAGCTGGTTGTCTGTCCACCCAATGTGGCGGGCGACACTGTCATATTGTTCAATCCAGTCCTTGACGTCTTCATACAGCTTGCGTGAAAAAGCGTCGGAGTGTGATTTGCGACGGGCATGCAAACAATGGTGGGAGGGGACACGGTTTGCTGCTACAGGTTTGTCATTGTTGGCTTAGTCAGCTTCGGATTTTCTGACAGGACACCGAATTCCGGTGGTTTTTCCTGGTAGCAGCAACTGGCTCGGATTTCAGGTGCTTCGTGGTGTATTTCCGAGGTTACTCCTTGTGGTACTTGGTCGTCTTGTGGTTGTTCTGCCAGGCTCGGGTCAGAACTTTGCCTACGGCTCGACAGGGGTATAAGACGCAGAATAGTCCGCCAGCCGTGTCCCATTATCGGGTAACTCGGCTGAAGAGCCGCTGGGTTCACACAGAGTGAAGGGCTACGGGTAAGGTGCCCAGTACCTCCACCTGAACATACGATTACAGCTGAGCATGACCTGCAGTGTCCCAGAATAGTGAATATTGATAGAAGATAGGACTGGAACAAGGATCCGTGACAGTATAACAAAACTAGCAGAAGAGAATCTATCCTGACCACTGAAGAAGCTGCATTGCTTTAGTGGCATTCTGTCCGAATAAATCCTCTCCTTCGGGGTTTGGCGACTGCCGTGGACGAACTGAACTGAAATGGATGTGGGACCACTTTTCTGGTAATGAGCCACTGCAGACTGTTGCCACAAAGCGGCGTGAGCTGGGTACGTAACACGCTCGGTGAAATGTCCGGACAGCTTGCAATTCGCGTAACGAGTGTGGATGAAACGTTTGTGTTGACGAAACGTGCGACAGACCAGCGGGATCAATACCAACTGCAACACCTGTGCTCCGTGAAAGTGCACGGCTACGCCGGAACAATTTCGGAAGCAGCACAGCATCACCTAAAGCATGGCACAGGAACTACCAGCTTGAAGGCAGCTCTTCGGTGCGCCGCACACCTGTGCTCCGTGAAAGTGCACTTCTACGTCGGAACAATTTGTAAGCAGCACAGCATCATTCAGCACGGCACGGGAACTACCAGCTTCAAGGCAGCCTTCCGGTGCGCCGCACAACCGAAGTGAGCCCTCGGTCATTTGATCGAAGCTGCACCGTGATTGCACACCGCCAAGCACGACTCAGGCAATTTCCGTCGCTAAACTGTGTATCCAAATATATTGCACGCGCTTCACTGCAAACCTCGAAGATTCCGATGGTCAACGAGAGCACAGAAACGTCGCCTTAAATTTTATCCTAGCGGTATCCGAATCAATCCGAGGTCCGAGCAACGTAGGTCAGATTGTCTCTTCCGTGGCAATATCCCGGTCGGTCACCAGCGAAATGCACACCGTTTCTCCGTATTTTCACGTTATACCTACGTCAAACACCACGCTGAACTCTGAACTCGCTTTCGACCGGCCTCATATGACGGCTTCCGCGTCTGAAATCAACTCGCCGAGACGAACGACAACCAACAAAGCATCCGACAAGCTCCGGCCAGCTGGGGCCAGCCGCAGCATGGGCGCTGCCATCTTTCCTGTGACGTCACGTATTTGGTTTGGTCATGTGACGTGTGGTCAAATTTGCGTACAATGGCAGCCTCCTTATGGGGGTCACTTTCGAGTGCAGACCGGAACCCCGGTTTATCGCTCTAAGCCCCTCTACCTCGTTGGTGACAACATCGAAGGAGAATCCCCAGTCCGAAGCTAGCGGGATGCATATTTATGGACATTCTAGCGGGTTTATGCTCCAATAAGACCGCAACACTGATCGAACTAATTTCAGTACGTCGAGCCAATCTCAATCCGAATCCAAGAGTCACAAACAACATGGCCGGCGAAGTGCTTGTTGACGCTCTCCCTTACATTGATCAAGGATACGATGAACCCGGTATTCGAGAAGCCGTGAGTTGAGATCTTATGCAATCGATTTTCTTAAGCCAAACATCACATTTTGTTTTTGACACACTAAAATGCTGGTTAACACTAACCATGCTGCAGCCATCCCTTTTGAACGCTCTATGCTTCGCCACCTACAGCGTGCTTCTCGCCGATTTCTCTTTTTTATTAGGTCATGGCTATGGTCGAGGAAGAAACACGGCGGTACAGGCCGACGAAGAACTATCTGGAACACTTGCCACAGCTGTCTCTGCATCAGTTCGAGGTAAGTCGTCCAACCTTGCCCATACCCGGCTCGGGCATGAATTAACGGGGTGGCGTAAAAATTGTCATTGCATATTTATTCAAGTTCGTGAAGGTTCATCCATCCAGTCTGCAGTGCCGCATAAAGATGCACTCAAAATATTTCTACGACTGAAACGATGCTGGATGGCATGCGACAGAGGCACATCATTCGGTGGCCCGACTCTGTGGCGTCTACGAAGTTCTTTGGCCCGCTTCACACGGGGCAATTTCTCCCAGCAACTTGACATCGCAAGTTGCTGGTTTCGCGCGTTCACACGCAGCAACCAATTGCTGCAATTTGCCAGCATCATCATTAAATTTTATTTTTCTTGCACTATTTAGGTACACAGTTAGCCGCTATAAACATGCTTTTATACCTTTAAATGGCGTTGACAAATATAACTCATCTTTCTGAAACGGTTAATTTCCAAACACAATAAATTTCAGACCAGAACCAAATCTTTAGTTGTCATCATCACCGGCACGGGGTATCACGTGAAAATATTGCATCCCTGATTAGCCTGCTGCCACTTGAAACGTCTTCGAATTGCTCCGAGTGGCTCGCTTGTTTCGAGCCGGACCCTATCTCAGCAATTCGTGTCGATATGGAAAAGCTAGGGAACAACCCGCCAGAAACCCCCAAATTGCTGAGAAAGTTGCCCTTTCGTGTTGTTTGTTTCGACCTCGTGTGTTTCTTTTGTTTTAAGTCAAATTAGATTATCAACACGCTCAAATCTTTAAAAATATGTTCTTCAGACAAATTTAAATGTCATAAATAAGGCTGCTAGATTTCTAAAAAAATTTTTTAATGGTTTTAGATTTGAAAGGAAACGGGGATTGTTGTAAGAAAATTATCTCACCAACACCTCTGCACTGCTTTCAGTTGAAGGGAGCTGTTCGACTTCTTTTCTAGACATTAAGTATTGCTGTCCTGTATTGTGTTCAACCCTAAGCTGACAGGATAATAAGAAGGGGCCCGCCGAGCCAATCAGCTGCCTGCCTGTCATGACCTGACTCGCCTCTCCGCACGTGTGTATCGGCGGGATTATAATCGTGTGTGCAAAAGATCCACATATGACTGGTCCAATGAGCTTGCAGCTTCCACCGCCATGCCAGTATTGTGGTGTGTGAATTGTGGAATGTAGTTCTTGCTATCTCTTCCTCTGTCTGTGGTGTCGGTCTCTATTACTTAATCAGCTATGCGTCTCATTGCAGTCTGAAACTATGAAGACCGAGTTTGAGCGCCTTCAGTCGAGGCTACCCATGGAGATGATGAGCATGAAAAGGTAAGGGGCACCCCTGCCGTGCACAAATGCCGTTAAGCTTAACATGACCCAAACTGTCGACATTGATGACAAAAGTATTCGGTCGGTGACTATGCAGACTTTTGCCGGTATGTCTGATTTTGTATTGTTCCTTTTTTCTCCTTATTTCTGGATTTTACGCCACGTCGTTCCTAACCACCTTAGCTGTCCACTTCAGTCAGTTTTGAACTGAACATGCACATCCTTGTGGCAGCGCAATTTCTAGTGTCGTCTTCTCACATCCACAGCGAAAACAGAGTTGCGTTGAGTGGAGAAAATCGTCTTTGTGAGATTTCAACTCTTAGTATTACGAGAGATTGAGTTACTGTATTAATGTTTGCGTGCCATTATTTTTGCGAACTGAAATTTTCGCAAAATTTAAGGGCACGCGAAACTTTCGATCCTTAAGAGTTTCAATGCAGGTTTCTGGAATTCGCGAATTTTAGCGGTCGCGATTATGTCCTTTGTGACCGATTCGCAAAAACTAGAAGCCGCAAAAATAAAAGCAAGCTCTAAAAATATAAACTCGTAGAGTATCGAGCGCGACACTGCCATAGAATACCGAGCATGCACCCGTGCCACATTGAGTGCCCACCCCTTCTTTTTAAGCATTTGAAATATAGGCGAAGGACGTATCAGTTGCCTACCTTGGCAAACTTCTGAGCCCATCGAGCTAACTCAGGTGTCCCTCCCTGTCAGCTGCTTCTCTGACAAGCTGTTGCAAGGTAGTGAAGCTTTACACGCATGCGCCGGTGCGGAGCATGGAAGCTTGAGACAAGCGCGTTGGTGCAAAGCAGGCTTGAGGGGAGTGGCTGCTTGAAAAATTAGGGGCTCCACCAGACTGCTAGGGCATTTCACGGGGTTAAAGGAGGGCCTACCCCACCACATGCCACTTTTGCTTTCCTGCTCTCAAACCTACCGACTACACATCCCCCCCCCCTTTTCTTTTTTTATTATCTTCGACTTTTTGGTGGGTACTTGCTCTGTATTTTACGGCATCTGCATCACCCTAAAAAAAGAAAGAATGTCCATGCTTAGGGTGCGACAAAGACCGCAGGACATTTCCTATATTTCAAGACATGTGTCAGGAAGATTGTGCTTTACAGACTTGATATACATACTCTTGTTAGTTTTCTTTTGCAAGGCATGGTGCTGCATCGAAGGGATGTGCAACCATATTGTCGCGAGCGAGATGGTAGTACATTATCAGTGCTGAAATTTAATCTAAATGTTATGTGTCAGCCGCAAAAATGCCCATTTGATCGATCACCTAGGGCTAATACAAGCTGCGTTCTCATCTTTATTATCAGCTGATAGCACCACAATACTACTGTGAGTGGTCATTTCTTATGTATCCAGTGCCTTGAATTTTTTTTAAAATTATTATTAGTAGTTTGCAGGGATTTTGTATTTATGCAATTTCTTTGGGACAAGTGGTTCCAACAGTGTTTCTGGAATCCTGCACATTTTGAATGTGGAAGGAAAACAACACTCCATAGAATGTCAGCATTAATGCGCGAGAAACATCGACAAACTTTTGTACAAAGAGTATATAGCGAATGTGGTCGTGATGTTCTCCCTTTGCCTAATATTTGGCTACTTTATCCTAGCTTCTTTTTGTTTTAGAATTTTGTCTGCTCGGGTTACTCAAAGTCAGTAGCCTTCAGTGAACCTCCTGACCTCTTTGCAACTGTTCAGACGTTTGCTTCCTTGTCATTAGCCCAACTTCGCACCTGAGGTATTCTCAGAGTTATAAAACACCTACGGTAGGCCACTTTCAAATTGAGAGCCTTCTTGTCTACACCACTGGCTGAGACAGGGGGATGAAAAGAAATGTGGTCTGTTCTGTGGATCCTCGCGCTGCAACACAAATTGCTGGAATTGGCTCTGGATCTCGACAGGCGAGCAACTAAAAAATCTCGTAGGCGTTTGGAGCGGCAGCAGGAGATCCGACGCAGTATTCCCACGTGAGACCCCCCCCCCCCCCCCCCCCCCGCCCCCTGAGGGTGGTGTGGTGATGATCACTGTCCATGGAGTTTAATTTCGTTCTGGTTTGCAGTGGTTCGTTTCTATGACTAAATGGTTTCGTGGAGACCACTTGGTATCCTCAACACCAGTGATGTGATTGCTGCGCCAAGGGGCTAACCCTGCTACATCCTGCTACATTTTGCCAAGCTATGGGTAATCTGCGCCAAGCCTGCGCCAAAGGACCAATTTTGGTAGCCTTCTAAACCAAAACTAAACTGAGTACCGTAATTGAGCACGCGGTGAGCTAGGTGGCGCAAGCGGCCGCCCGACACAAAGTACCCTGCATCAATCGTTCTTCCGGTCTTGCATGGTTTTCCCGTCATGTCCCGTTCTGCGTCCTAATCGTCTCGCGTTTTTTTAATTTTTTTATTGATAGTTGCGGATGTGTGCGGCGCTCCGACGCTAACGTGCTGGGGTACCAGCCACGCCATCATGCTATGAAACGAAACCACGTTTTCGCGCTGCGGGAGTTCCTTTGTGAGCTGAAGCACTCGCTCCCGAAAGCAACGGCCGGGGGAAAACTATATTTGGTCCCTGCCTGCCAGTCACCGTGGTCGCGCGACGTCGGGTGTTGCCGTCGGGTGTTGCCGTCCCCACGTAGATATGGCGCTTTCTAAAATGAAACTAAATACCGCCGCATGTTCATCAACATTCCTGTTCTTGTTTAATTCGCTACTACAAAAATCCCTCTTTAGCTCACAGACTTCTGTGTCGAAGTATTGATTACCTAGGTTTCTCTCGGTGGGCCTTCTTTCGAGAGGGACCCCAGTACGTGAAAAATCTGCAGTGAAAGAAAGTTGGTGAAGAGAAGTGAGCTAAAGCAAAGAAGGCAATGTCTGCACGCTGAACCCGCGCAGTGCGCTTGTTTGTCTCGAGTTCAGTCGTTGCATAAAGCGCTCCAAGATCCTTTTGACCCTGGCTCGTGATGTCTTGCATCGATGTGCTCAGGATTTTTTTTCTGTGTGTTTAGTTTGTACCTTGCCTGCCGGCCTGGCAAGCACGTGCCACTGGACTGTTTTTTGTCGTATGCTGGACAGTTACATTTTGCATACAATTTTGAGAACCAGTTGGCGACGGAGCGGAGTGGCGTCATTTCGATCGAGCAGCCATGCATCTCCGCTCGCGCGACAATTTCGCATCGCACTGCAGTAGTTACATGTTTCATCAATTGGAGACTGCTTTCATTTATTTTATCACTAGCAACCTAATGCTGTGCTACTTATACTGAGCTGGTCATTTTCAAATAAATTTTAATATGTGCACTTTGGTTCTTACTTACCTATAGCGGGTACATATATACGTATCATTTAACTGAAGCATTGCAAAATGTGTCATGTCATTGGCATTTCAGTTACGTGTTGAAAGGCTCCCAGTTGGCGTAACTTGACTATAATTTGTTTATTGCGGCAAGCAAAGTCTCCTTGGTTTGCCCCACACTTAAAACAAATATTTTTATTTTTCTAATATCTTCTACAATAGCCAATTTTGCTGCTCCGGAGCACTATTTTGGCTGCTCCAAAAGCCAATTTTGCTGCTCCGAAACACTGTTTTAGCGGCTCCACAAGCCACTTTTGTTGCTCCAAAATACTGTTCTGGCTGCTCCAAAAGGTGCTCCAAAACGGCTTAGGCCAATCACATCACTGCAACATGCACCAGCACGATGCGCCGGCTCCCGCTACGTCGTTTGTCGCCACTTTGGGATTTCTTTCAACGCGTGGGCATTACAGGACGCCAAACTCGTCTGTAGACCTTTTCCGACACGTGCGGCGGCGTCCGCAGCGCCAAAGGGAATGCCGGGCTCGATGGGTGCAACCGGTCATAGTAGACGACAGGCACAACACTGAGGTGACGGCAAACGGGCAAGTGTGGGCAAGCAATTGCACTACCCTCTTGCCCTCTTCAGTGTCACGTGATAGGCTAGGTGTGCGGACTTTCGTAACTTTTGCGAAAGGTTCGTCGAAGGCACGTTCCAGGCACCATAGTATTAATTCGGGAGGCCTGTGCTGCCGGCGTTGCGACGTCAAGATGCTGCAAAACACGGCTGCACCTGGAGCGGGCCCAATGGTCTTGCAGGTATGAGCTGCCCCAGCCGGCGGCGGGCAAGACGACCGACGTGGCGTCGTGGAGCGAGTGCGTGGACAACTCGTGGGCCCAGCTGGAGCACCAGGCCACCCGCATCGCTAACCTGGAGCTCATGGCACGCTACGGATGCGAGGCTTGGAAGGCCTACAATGCCGCGCTGGTGCGCATGCTGCACCAGCTGCAGAAGCAGCTGCAGGACCTCAGGTCAGATTGGCATCACCGTCCGCTCATTACTTTTGACGTAGAACGTGTTATGTTGTCACGGATCGCCACACCATGTCACTTAGTTGGCAAGCACTCGTTCGAGCGCTTGCCGATCTCCACCATAGATGTCACAGACGGCTGGTGATGAAACAATGAATAACTGAGATAACTAGAGGTTTAATGTGGCACAGTCACGTCAATACAAAAAGTTCAACAAATGGCTTCATTGCGAGTGTCCAAGTCGGCGTTGCAGCAGATTCAAGCGCCAATGTGAAACTGACTTCGGTGCAGCGTGCTATGGCCACCTCCATACGCGATTTCTTTTCACGAAAGTACTACCGTATTTTCCGGTGTATAAGACGCGGTTTTTTTCAAAAGTTCTTGCTGGTGCGTCTTATACAACGGTGCGTCTTATACGCGAATTGTTTTTTTTTTTTTTTTGCGAGTTCAGAAATTTGGAATTTACTCGGTTGATGTTCAAGCTTGTTTCACCAAAAACAAAATATCGCTACCGATCACGCGGTCTTAACACGGTGATACTTCAATACGGGGACCACCGCGTGCCACGTTTTAGGTGAACTCCAAGATTGCAAACATGCGGTCGTTGCGGATGCGGAGGTCCCAGGCGTAAGTAATGTGAAATGCCAACAGGTGGCGACAATCACGCTTCTCGCCAAGACAAGCCAGGACAAGCCAGGACAAGCCGCCTCTCTTTTTCAGTCGCCATTTTCATCTTTGTTCGCTCTGCGTACGTGCGTCGTCGTGTTTTCCTGCCATCTGCCCGGTCTTGCTACAATATGCCACCGCAGTCGCGCAAGAGCTACACAGCGAAGTTTAAATTATCTGCGGTCGAGTACGCTACCGAACACGGTAACCGGGCTGCAGGTCGCCGTTTCGACGTCACCGAGAAGATGATTCGCACATGGCGACAGTCGTCCACCAAACTACAGGCGATGAAAAGTGGAAAAAAGGCTGACCGCGGAAAGAAGGCGCGGTGGCCTGAACTTGAAGACCGGCTCGTCAAGTGGGCTCTTGGCGGTGCCCACAATTCGGGTGCGTCTTATACAAAGGTGCGTCTTATACACCGGAAAATACGGTAATCGGGAACATAAAGTAAGTGACAAAAATGTGCTGAAACCTACCAGAGAGACAAAGAGTAGTGAAACCAAAAATAGACTGAGCAGGGTTTGAACCCAGCTCACCCGCACAAAGCCGCATATGTTGCAAACTGTGCAGTCGGCATTATAGCCGGCTTCAACAAACACAATGAGAACGCTGGTGCATTTCTCTCGGACGACTGGCCTTGAGCATGCATTCATTGCTTTCTATCATACTTTGACTGTGAATGCCTCTTCAAAGCTCTCGAGATGCCCAACTGTCATTGAAAGTAGAGAGCTTGTGCTGGAGGTGGTTAATAATAATTGTAATAATAATAGTACAGTCGAATCTCATTAATTCAAACTCTCTTAATTCAAACTTGTGGATAATTCAAACTAATATGCAGGTCCCATCCTATGCGTCTCTATGGGAGGAAACTCCCGGTAATTCAAACTTTGCTTTATTCAAACAAATTTTCGGTCCCCCTCAAGTTTGAATTAACGAGATTCGACTGTACCTTTATTTTTCCAACAAAAACAACAACAAAACTGAGGAACCTGCCTATCATGCAGATTCTTCTAATCCTTAATGCAGATTCTTCCAATACACTCCTGTAATGCAGGATTGTTGTACAAAAATTCACTGGCCTGAAAAAGAACCAGAGAAAGGGCAGAAGCACTTAATTTTATACCGGTGTTCTCTACGCAAAAAAAGCGAGCTCAAAATGTTATCACAAGGCAGCCATCACTCGCACATAAGGCGGGAGAGTGTACAGGAGGTGGAATGAAAGAGGACAGGCACGTGCTTTGTGGAGAATGGAGACTCATTGAGAAGGGGGGTCAAAGCTGAGATGTGCATCCTCGAGAGACGTGAACTTGGCATTCGACTACCGCTCGAGTGCTAGCTTTGTCGGGGCTTCTCTTCGTTGATGCTACTTGCCGAAACGTTTGTGCCGTCTAGGCCCAAAATGCGTACCATGCTCCCCTCTGCAACATCACCGTGAAGCAACACACAATAGTTTCTTTGTTACCGCTGGGCGTTTTCAGGTAAGATTGAACAACCATGTCCGGTGGCCTTTTCTAATTTTGATGAAAAAAATATATTTTGCTGGCTTCATGCTTGGAAAAATAAAACCAATCCTTGTTCAAAAAAAAAAAAAATTGTCTTAGCGAAAAAAAATTGTAAGCAACCTCTCAGTCACGTGCGCGTTTTGTGTATCGTGCGATGTTGGCATTTCGGGCGTTTTCCCCAAAAGTACTGTTCTAGCTACGGGTCTAAAAGTATTTACTGACAAACTAGGCAGAGGAAGAATTGACAAAAAGTATTATTCACGGAGTATTCACGGAGCAACTGAGAAACAAAATCGCAAACACGAGACATTGCGCAATGACGCTCTAGATTAAAGATTTTGTCTCTCCGTATCTATAATAACTAAGATCTTCAAACTTTGCCAGTGTGTTGCTCTGTATATAGGTAACTCTCAAAAGTTCAACTCTCAGAAATTAACGTTTATAATATGTACTAACAGAATCTGCAAAACCGTAATGCAATATTCGTGTGGCTCAGAAGTTATAAAGCGAGAAATATGTCCGAATTCACGCTAACGTGGTTGCTAAAAATGGGGCGTGCACATACACATTCTTCACAATTTCATTGTTATTAAAATGCGTAAAAATCCTACGAGGTGGTGAGGAGGTGGACAGTAGTTTTGAAGGGAAAATTCTTAATACATTTTTGTACAACTGACCCGAAAATGCCTATGAGCAGGAGTGATCGAGAGGTGCCACCCTGTAACATGCTTCGCGGTGCCCGTTTCAACAGCCGGCATGTAGCATCTCCGTCCATGCGACGTAAAGGAAGCAACTGGAGCGGCTTTTCAGGCAGAAGAGCCTACAACCTTGGCGGTAACATGATATAGGAGGTAGGGCGCGGCAGAACCTGAACCTGCACCGCCTGTAAGAGCCAATAAATCCGCCGCCGTGAAAGACTGCACAAAAAAAAAATACTGCAGAAGAGAAAAAACAAAACTTGCTATTGAATGAGATTGTTTGTAACTTCATTTATATGACAACGGTTTAGAGAATCGTGAAATCCAGTTTGGGTATGCTCATGTGACCTACGTCAGTGATGGTGCAGCAAGCCACTTTAAGAACAAATACGAAGTACACGAGCTGCAGTGCAACAAGCACACGTCAGCGAAGTGGATTTTTTCCGCTACTGAACATGGCAAGAGTGCCTGCGATGGAATGGGGGTCGTGTCAAGCACCAGGCAACGTTGTACAACCTCCGACGGCCCACCACGTCGGTGATCAAGTCAGCGACAGAGATGGTTGCCCCAATGGACACTAAACTGCCGAACGTGAAACTAATCCAACTTTCGAAAGCTGAGGTCAAAGTGTTCAAGGACATGAAAGCAAAGGAGTGAGACTCTGTTTCTGTTGTGCGTGGAATTCATCCTTGTGACTTGTGGCAGTGTAAGCGGTCCGACACTTCACAACCACAGCTGTTTTAGCAAGAATACCAGACGCAGAAAAGATACCTTTGAAAGTAAAGTCTCCCATGGATGCAAAAAGCAGATCGATGTCGCGAGCTTGCGGTGCCACTGAGAAGAAACGAACGGTAATCGTTACAGGCAAAACGGGAAAAAAATATTTCTCCTTGAAGGGCCAGTAGAGCACCGTGACCGATTCAGGTCAGAAAGAATGCATGCGACAAGCGCCGAATGTGTGCACAGGACCTTGATTCATTAAATTCGGTTCAATTGTACCACTTTAAACATAAGTTTCTTTCTTATCACTATTTAAACGAGATTGTTGGCAGCCCAGCCCGAAGGGTAGGCTTTGAAATTCACTGATCTGAGAAATCTGTAATTAAATTGTTGGCTTGTGCTTCAAACCAGTGGCGTCACAAGGGTGGGCGGGGGGGTGGACCGCCCCGGGTGCAGCGCTCAGGGGGGTGTTGCGGCAGGCCACGAAAGCGGGGAAGGGGGGGGGGGGGGGGGGAGGGGAGTCGCGGCGGGCCACGCGAGAGCGGGGGAAGGGGGGGGGGGGGGGGGGGGTGTCGCGGCGGGCTACCCCGCTTTGGGTGCCGCTGACCCTTGTGACGCCACTGCTTCATACTTACCTGTAATATTTTGTATGAATTCTTATGTTTCACGAACTCCTGTCACAGTGCTTTCTCTACACAGACTTCCTACATTTTTCGACCCCTTGCTTGCCCTTGTTTGAAATCGGCAATGTCCTATCTTCCTCTACTTCTGTTGCAGCAATTCTGTATATTTAGCACTCTGTAAATTCAAAAATACAGAAATATTGCAAAGCATTTTCGAAGGGCCTAATAGGACAGATAGTGCAACCAGCCTCTGAGCGACACAGCAGAGGCTGGTTGCACTATCTCTCCACGGGGCGCGGTGCCGTCGGGGCCGAGACGCACTCCGATAGCAAACCGAAACTTGAAAGCCCGTCGATTTTGTGCGGTTTTTCAAAAACCCGTAAAATGTTTCGCGTGCCTCCTATTGTTCTGCAATTTGTTGATTTAGTGGTTTTTGATGATGCTGAGCAATTTTCTAATTGAAACAATGCCCTTAAACACAATATTAAAGAAGTTAATTACGCAAAAATAATTAACAATATAATTATCCTGGACTTTAATAATTTTCTTAAATAGGCCCCTGGCCCAGGACCAAAACTACACAAGCCTTTTTTTTGTTGCGACGCATAGTTTTCGCAATATCGAATTTGTCCACCCTTCGTGTAACACCCTGTATACAGAGCAACACACTAGCAAAGTTTGAAGATTTTAGCTTTTATAGATAGGGAGAAAAAAAAACACTTTAATCCAGAGCGTTAGTGTGCAATGTGCCATGTTTGCAATTTCTCAAAATAATGACCCTAATACTCGGT